ACGTAGTGGCGTATAGGCAACTCGTTTTAGTGCTGTCAAAAGCGGCTTTAAAGTCGACAAATAGGTGGTGAGTGTCGATCCTTTTCTCGCGGGTCTTTTCCAAGATTTGGCGTATTGTCAATACCTGGTCTATGGTGGATTTGCCAGGTCTAAAGCCACACTGATAAGGCTTAATCAGTTCATTGACGGTGGGCTTCAGTCTTTCACCTTTGAATATCTCAGCTGGCAGGCTGTCAGCTCCAGCGGCTTTGTTGTTTTTCAGCCGCGTTATTGCTATACGTACCTCGTCATAGTCAGGCGGAGGAACTTCGACTCCGTCATCGTCGGCTGCGGGCTCGGCTTCTTCTTCTCCACAACTTTCCGTGCTGGTACCATTTAGTAGGGCGGAAAAGTGTTCCCTCCATAATTTAGGTATGCTCTGGATATCAGTTACTAGGTCGCCATTATTGTTCTTACAGGAGTGCGCCCCGGTCTTAAAACCTTCCGTAAGTCAACTAACTCTCTGGTAAAATTTTCTGGCATTCCTCCTATCGGCCAGCATCTCAAGCTCTTCGCACTCACGTATTTCGGCCTCTCTTCTTATTGCGGCAAATACGTCTTGCTTCCCTCTTCATATCCCTATAGCGGTCCCACATAGCGCGCGTTGCGCCCGATCGCAGCGTGGCCCTGTAGGCGGCATCTTTTTTCTCTGCAGCTTCCTGACACTCCTCATCGTACCAGTTGTTCTTTCGGGCTCGCTGAAATCTGACTACTTCTTCGGCGGCGGTACTTAATGAGCGGGAAATGTGGTTCCACTGCTCGCATATGTCGGTTTGTTGAAGAGTGCTCTCTGAGAGCAGGTGTGAGAGTCGAGTAGCGAAATCGCTGGCTGTCTGTTGTGATTGCAGCTTTTCGACGTTAAGCTTTCCTTGCATATTTCGGCGCACATTTTTTGCTGCACAGAGGCGGGTGCGTATCTTGGCTGCAACAAGATATTGGTCAGAGTCGATGTTTGGGCCTCGGAGTGTACGTACGTCTAAAACACTGGAAGCGTGCCTTCCGTCTTTCACCACATGATCGATTTGGTTTCTCGTTTTTCGATCCGGAGACAGCCACGTAGCTTGATGGACTTTTTATGCTTGAACCTAGTACTGCATACTACCATGTTTCGGGCTCCGGCGAAGATCAGCCTCAATCCGTTGTCGGACGTTTCGTCGAGGAGGCTGAATTTTCCGGCGGTGGTTCCAAAGATCCCTTCCTTGCCCACCCTGGCATTGAAGTCGCCAAGCACGATTTTGATGTCATGACGGGGGCAGCGCTCGTACGTGCGCTCCAAGCGCTCATAGAAGAGATATTTGGATGCCTCATCTTTCTCTTCCGCCGGGGCATGGGCGCAGATGAGCGAGATGTTGAAGAATATCGCTTTGATGCGGATTGTAGCTAGACGCTCGTCCACCGGGGTGAACGACAGTACTCGGCGACGGAGTCTCTCTCCCACCACAAATCCAACTCCGAATTTGCGCTCCTCTACATGGCAGCTGTAGTAGACGTCGCAAGGCCCCAGACATTGGTTGCCTTGCCCCGTCCAACGCATTTCTTTGATGGCGGTGATGTCAGCTTTTGTCCTTACGAGGACATCAACCAGCCGGGCAGAGGCACCTTCCCCATTAAGGGTCCAAGAAGAGAGAGGCCGAAATACGTGAGTGCGAAGAGCTTGAAATGCTGGCCGACAGGAGGAATGCCAGAAAATTTTACCAGAGAGTTAGTTGACTTACGGAAGGTTTTAAGACCGGGGCGCACTCCTGTAAGAACAATAATNGCGGAAGAGAAAGATGAGGCATCCAAATATCTCTTCTATGAGCGCTTGGAGCGCACGTACGAGCGCTGCCCCCGTCATGATATCAAAATCGTGCTTGGCGACTTCAATGCCAGGGTGGGCAAAGAAGGGATCTTTGGAACCACCGTCGGAAAATTCAGCCTCCACGACGAAACGTCCGACAACGGATTGAGGCTGATCGACTTCGCCGGGGCCCGAAACATGGTAGTATGCAGTACTAGGTTCAAGCATAAAAAGATCCATCAAGCTACCTGGCTGTCTCCGGATCGAAAAACGAGAAACCAAATCGATCATGTTGTGATAGACGGAAGGCACGCTTCCAGTGTTTTAGACGTACGCACACTCCGAGGCCCAAACATCGACTCGGACCACTATCTTGTTGCAGCCAAGATACGCACCCGCCTATGTGCAGCAAAAAATGTGCGCCCAAATATGCAAGGAAAGCTTAACGTCGAAAAGCTGCAATCACAACAGACAGCCAGCGCTTTCGCTACTCGACTCTCACACCTGCTCTCAGAGAGCACTCTTCAACAAACCGACATATGCGAGCAGTGGAACCACATTTCCCGCTCATTAAGTACCGCCGCCGAAGAAGTAGTCGGATTTCAGCGAGCCCGAAAGAACAACTGGTACGATGAGGAGTGTCAGGAAGCTGCAGAGAAAAAAGATGCCGCCTACAGGGCCACGCTGCGATCGGGCGCAACGCGCGCTATGTGGGACCGCTATAGGGATCTGAAGAGGGAAGCGAGACGTATTTGCCGCAACAAGAAGAGAGAGTCCGAAATACGTGAGTGCGAAGAGCTTGAAATGCTGGCCGACAGGAGGAATGCCCGAAAATTTTACCAGAGAGTTAGGCGACTTACGGAAGGTTTAAAGACCGGGGCGCACTCCTGTAAGAACAATAATGGCGACCTAGTAACTGATGTCCAGAGCGTACTTAAATTATGGAGGGAACACTTTTCCGCCCTACTAAATGGTACCAGCACGGAAAGTTGTGGAGAAGAAGAAGCCGAGCCCGCAGCCGACGATGACGGAGTCGAAGTTCCTCCGCCTGACTATGANCTTTGGAACCACCGTCGGAAAATTCAGCCTCCACGTCGACGAAACGTCCGACAACGGATTGAGGCTGATCTTCGCCGGAGCCCGAAACATGGTAGTATGCAGTACTAGGTTCAAGCATAAAAAGATCCATCAAGCTACCTGGCTGTCTCCGGATCGAAAAACGAGAAACCAAATCGATCATGTTGTGATAGACGGAAGGCACGCTTCCAGTGTTTTAGACGTACGCACACTCCGAGGCCCAAACATCGACTCGGACCACTATCTTGTTGCAGCCAAGATACGCACCCGCCTATGTGCAGCAAAAAATGTGCGCCCAAATATGCAAGGAAAGCTTAACGTCGAAAAGCTGCAATCACAACAGACAGCCAGCGCTTTCGCTACTCGACTCTCACACCTGCTCTCAGAGAGCACTCTTCAACAAACCGACATATGCGAGCAGTGGAACCACATTTCCCGCTCATTAAGTACCGCCGCCGAAGAAGTAGTCGGATTTCAGCGAGCCCGAAAGAACAACTGGTACGATGAGGAGTGTCAGGAAGCTGCAGAGAAAAAAGATGCCGCCTACAGGGCCACGCTGCGATCGGGCGCAACGCGCGCTATGTGGGACCGCTATAGGGATCTGAAGAGGGAAGCGAGACGTATTTGCCGCAACAAGAAGAGAGAGGCAGAAATACGTGAGTGCGAAGAGCTTGAAATGCTGGCCGACAGGAGGAATGCCCGAAAATTTTACCAGAGAGTTAGGCGACTTACGGAAGGTTTAAAGACCGGGGCGCACTCCTGTAAGAACAATAATGGCGACCTAGTAACTGATGTCCAGAGCGTACTTAAATTATGGAGGGAACACTTTTCCGCCCTACTAAATGGTAGCAGCACGGAAAGTTGTGGAGAAGAAGAACCCGAGCCCGCAGTCGATGATGACGGAGTCGACGTTCCACCGCCTGACTATGACGAGGTACGTATAGCAATAACGCGGCTGAAAAACAACAAAGCCGCTGGAGCTGACAGCCTGCCAGCTGAGCTATTCAAGTACGGCGGCGAGGAGTTGATAAGGTGCATGCATCAACTCTTGTGCAGAATATGGTCAGATGAACGCATGCCCGACGACTGGAATTTAAGTGTGCTCTGCCCAATCCACAAGAAAGGTGACCCCGCCATTCGCGCCAACTACCGCGGGATCAGCCTTCTAAGCATAGGTTACAAGGTCTTATCGAGCGTATTAGGTGAAAGACTGAAGCCCACCGTCAATGAACTGATTAAGCCTTATCAGTGTGGCTTTAGACCTGGCAAATCCACCATAGACCAGGTATTCACAATACGCCAAATCTTGGAAAAGACCCGCGAGAAAAGGATCGACACTCACCACCTATTTGTCGACTTTAAAGCCGCTTTTGACAGCACTAAAAGGAGTTGCCTATACGCCGCTATGTCTGAATTTGGCATCCCCTCAAAACTCATACGGCTGTGTAAAATGACGTTGAGCAATACCACCAGCTTCGTCAGAATTGGAAAATACCTCTCCGAGCCGTTCGTCACAGAACGGGGTTTCAGACAGAGCGACTCCCTTTCATGTGACTTCTGTAATCTGATGTTGGAGAAGAGAATAAGAGCTGTAGAACTGAACCGCTCAGGAACAATTTACTAGAAGAGCGTGCAGTTGCTGGCTTATGCCGATGACATCGACATCATCGGTAACAAAAACCGCGAAGTCTGTTCTGCCTTTTCCAAGTTGGATAGGGAAGCAAAGCGCATGGGTCTGGTGGTAAACGAGGACAAGACGAAGTATCTCCTGTCATCAAACAAACAGTCAGCACATTCGCGCCTTGGCACCCACGTCACTGTTGACAGTTACAATTTCGAGAAAGTAGAGAATTTCGTTTACTTGGGAACCAGCATTAACACCGATAATAATGTCAGCATTGAAATCCAACGTAGAATCACTCTTGCCAACAAGTGCTACTTTGGACTGAGTAGGCAATTCAGGAGTAAAGTCCTCTCTCGACGTACGAAAACCCCGCTCTATAAGTCACTCATCATGCCCGTGCTGGTATATGGCGCAGAAGCATGGACAATGACAACATCCGATGAGGCGGCTCTTGGGGTGTTTGAGAGAAAGATTTTGCGGAAGATTTACGGTCCTTTACGCGTTGGCGACGGCGAGTACCGCAGACGATGGAACGATGAGCTGTATGAGCTTTACAACGATATAGACACAGTACAGCGAATTCAAATACAGCGGCTCCGCTGGCTTGGTCATGTCGTTCGAATGGACACCGACGCTCCAGCTCTGAAAGTATTCAACTCGGAACCCGCTGGTGGTAGCAGAGGAAGAGGGAAGCTCCCACTGCGATGGAAAGATCAGGTGGAGAAGGACTTGGCTTCACTTGGCGTTTCCAATTGGCGTCAGTTGGCACAGAGGAGAAACGACTGGCGTGCTTTGCTGACCTCGGCCAAAATCGCTTAGGCGGTTACAGCGCCAAAAAGAAAAGAAAAAGATATGTATATATGTATTTGGATTTACAGGTTACCTTTGATTTGACTCATAAACACAATGGCTGGAA